TAGACGAATTTTTAAGGCTGTAAGTTCTTGGCCAATATGTAAAACTGCTTCCTCAAGGGCATCAACTTTAGCTTCTAACTTTCTATCTATTGCTTCCTGGGTTGTTAAAGCCAAGGATACATTTTTTGATAAATCATTTGCATATTGTGCTGTTTGTACTTCTTTTACTAAAGTATATGTTGCAACAGTAAAAGAACTCAGTATTCCTATCAAGGCGGAAATTCCCAAAATCAAAGTAGCCACAAATCTTTTTGGCCTTATGAGTTCTCCAACCTGTCTTACAATTTTTGCCCCTATATCTGTATACCAAGATTCATTAAGCGCTACTGGCAGCATAATATAAGCTGGTCTTTTTAACACCATTATGGTTGACACATTCATTTCAGGAACAATACAAGTGGTCAGTATGCATTGTTGACAGGTAATATAAAACCTCATATTATATTGCATAATCTGTAATTTTTTACTATCATTAGAAAGCAACAGGGAGTACGGAGATGACACACAGGTTTGAATATAGTACTCTTCCACATGGGTAGTAGCTCTAATTAACGTTATTTTACGAGTGGTTAAGGGTAATCTCCATAACTGAGGTTGATAATAGGTTTTATTTTCATAAACAAAAGTATAAATAGGAGCCACCCATCCATGACTATTCCATCTATTTACCTTCAATGGACGGGGAATATAGGAATCATTCCATGGATATAATATGCCTTTTTCTAAATATGTTCTATAATCTCCCTCAGGAAAATTAATACTCCAATCTGAAATATAATATCTAGTTCCAGGAATGGTTATTTTATTTTCTTTATTATACATACAATATATCCATGAAGGATATCCAGTTTTAATATCTATCCAAATCCATTCATCTGTAGCTTTGTCTGCAGCCTCATCACAATCGTCATATTTAGAAGGATGAATATCTTTGGCTGGATATTTATTAACATAAACTTGGGTTTGTCCTACAACTTTTCCTAACAATGACCATAAATATCTTGTGGTTTTATCTTTTCCTTTTGACTCTTTAGGGGAGTCTGTCAAAAATCCTGCATCAACTACTGATAAACACCCATTTTTTGTTTGACTATTTCCGGTTGACCCAGAGCCAAGGAAAAAGCATATAGGAGGAAAATCGGTCTGACCTGTGAATGAGTAATTGTAATTAATCACAAATTGTTTGTAGCTCTGTATTTCTCGAATGCCATCGGTCAATTCAGGAAATGAGGAGGTTACTGGAATAATAGAATCCTTCCAAGTACAAGCATGTAAAATAGGAGGATCTGGAAAGTAAGCCCAATACGTACCGTTGGCACTTACCTGAACCGAAAGCAAGCTAAGCATAGCCACAAAAAAATTAGCAGTCGTCAAAGGCAATCTTTGAGCATTTACAGCATTTTCAGCATTCAGGCAAAGCTTTTTAATTGCCCCCCAGGTTATCGGAGGCGTTTTAGTGGTGGAGACTGTATACCTTCTTTTTTGTGAACGAGAAAGTAATGAAGGCTTCCTCTCCGAGGTTTTTGGAGGAGTTTGTACCTCTTTATCGCAAGATGATTTAGGTGACAGTTGTTTCATCGGGGGAACTAACATCGCAGCCACAAGACTATCTGGTTTCACTTTCTGTGGATGCGGTTCCGCCATCTCGGCAATGAGGTTTTTCCTTTGTGAGACGCTTTAATAAGTTCCCCACCTCAGGATGTCTGATTAATCGATCAGGAATCCAAATTGGTGAATCAAAATTCTGAGGAAAAATACAAGCATACCCTCTACCACTAGTTAATAATATATCTGGCCCATTCCATTTTCCTGTTAAAACATCTTTCCAGAGTACCTTTGGTTTTATATTTTCTTCATTTATATCCCAATGTCTCATCATAGGAGTTTTTTCCTTATCGTTCATGTTTAAGTAATTTAACACAAACATAGAATGATTAAATATATGATGAGGAGAAAAATATTTTAAATCTCCATTTTGTAATTTATAAATCATATTTTTTAAGACCTGATTGGTTCTTTCAATTATAGCTTGTCCTTGTGGGTTATAAGGAATTCCAGTACTATGGGCTATGCCAAATTGTTGGCATAATTGCTGAAAAGATTTAGAAACATAAGCAGGGCCGTTATCAGTCTTTAGCTTTCTGGGAATTCCCAAATAACTGAAACAAAACATTAAATGTTGGCACACATCCTTAAAGGCTTCTCCGGTCCTAGCTGAGGCTACAATTACATGTGAAAAGGTATCCACACAAACATGTACATAGGACAGCCTTCCAAAACTAGGTACATGAGTCACATCCATCTGCCACAGATCATTAGCTCTCAAACCTCGAGGATTTACTCCCTGTTGAGGTACATTAGTTTGTGTAGGACACACAGAGCAGTTTTTTATTACTTCCCTTGCTGTTTCTCTGGTCAGGCCAAATTGATACCTTAAGGCATTAGCATTTTGATGATGTAGCTGATGAGATTTTATTGCTTCTTGTACTTTATTTTCATGAATTACAAAAATTTTAGTCAGGGCATCAGCAGAGGCATTGCCTTCTGCTAAGGGCCCTGGTAATCCAGAGTGAGCTCTAATGTGGCCTATATAATAAGGCTGTGTTCTTTCCCATATACTTTCTTGTAGTCTCTTAAGCAACTTAATTATTGTACTCTTATTTTCAGAAAAGGCTGCTGTTTCTATTGCTGGAAATAATTTGACTATATATAACGAATCAGTATATAAATTAATCTTTTTATCCTTGGTCAATTTCATTACTTCTATAACTGCCATGATTTCTGACTGCTGGGCTGAGCAATTCTCTGTATTTAACACTTTCTTTTCATTATTAATAACATAGGCTGCCCTCCCTGAGGAGGATCCATCAGTAAATACTAATATTGCCTCTTCCAAAGGTTTTATCTTATAATATGTAGGAAAAACCACCATATGTTCTTTAAAAAACTGTAATAACACACTTTTAGGCAAATGAAATAAAATCTGGCCTCCATAAGAGGCTAAAGCTATTCCTAATGAATCTTCTAACAACAGCAAGGTCTCTAACTGATCTTTATTATAAGGTATAATTATGTTATCCATATCTTTTCCAAATAATTCTCTGCTTCTCTTCCTACCTTTAATAATCAATAAACTAACCATAAAGGGGTATGAGGCAACAATCTTTTTTGGACTAGCAGCCAAATGTATCCATTCTAATGGTCCATTTTGCCATAACAATCCTGTAGGAATAAGTGGAGTCCTTAAAATAATCAAATCCCAAGGTTTAGTATAATCTAATCTTTTAATAAAAACATTCTTTAAAGCTTTTTCTATTTTTTCTATGGCTTGTTTTCCTTCTTCAGTTAATTTTCTCGGGGATAAAGGGTTAGAATCTCCTTGTAATATCAAAAACAAAGGTTTTAATTCCGCAGTAGTAATTTTTAACAAAGGCCTTATCCAATTTATATCTCCTAAAAACTTTTGAAAGTCATTTAAAGTAACCAAATGATCAGTTCTTAGCTGAAAAGGGATATGCTGAATGGAAAATTCCTGTATCAATCTGCCCAAATAATTATAAGGAGGCTCAGTTTGAATTTTTTCTGGAGCAACTTTTAATCCATACTCCTGTAAAGCTTCCATCATATCCTGCAATGCCTGATGTAAATAAGCCTTATCTTTATGGGCTAATAATATATCATCCATATAATGTATTAAATAAATCTCTTTATATTTCTGTCTTATATTGCATATGGCTTGGTCTACATATTTTTGACATAAGGTAGGGCTGTTTTTCATGCCCTGTGGTAAAACTTTCCACTGATACCGCTGATATGGTCTGGTAAAATTAGGAGAAGGCACACTAAACGCAAACCTCTTTCTGTCCTCCTTATGTAAGGGGATTGTAAAAAAGCAGTCTTGCAAGTCTATAACTATAATAGCATAATTTTCAGGGATGGCTACTGGAGAGGGAAGTCCAGGCTGCAAAGCCCCCATTGTTTCCATTGTTTTATTTATCGCTCTAAGGTCTTGTAATAGCCTCCATTTTCCTGATTTTTTCTTTATAACAAATATAGGAGTATTCCAAGGACTATTAGAAGGTTCTATATGTCCTGCCAATAGTTGCTGTTCCACTAATTCTTTTGCAGCTGCTAATTTCTCAGAAGTTAGGGGCCATTGTTCCACCCACACAGGTTCCTCTGATAGCCATACTATGGGGTCAGCTGCTTTTAAAACAATGGCCCCCATTATAAATTTGGATAGCCCACTCCATGTTTATCATTTTTGGGCTCAGCAACCACAGGATATAATCTTCCCTCTTGATTTTTTCCTAAGCCTTTATCTGGATCATACCCCATTTTCAACATTTGTGAGGAGACCCAGTCATCTGGACTATATAAAAGCATTCCCATCTGCATAAGTATGTCTCTTCCCCAGAGGGAAATTGGCAGGCCAGGTATTACATAAGGACAAAAGGAGCCTGCTTGTTTATTGACGGGATTTTTCCAAGTTAAAATTTGGGCACTCTTAGCTACTGCTGGCGCAGTTCCTAGGCCTGTTAACATATTATCAGTATGCTGGGTGGGCCAGCTGCTAGGCCAATCTTTTCCTGCTATGCAGGAAGCATCGGCACCTGTGTCTAAGAGACCCTGAATATTTTTTCCATTTATCTTTAAAGTTTTTAAAGGTCTATTTTTGGTAATTTCTTGAATCCAAAATGCCATATCACTGGAGCCAAATCCCTTTTCATTTCTAGCTTCTTGAGTTATATTCTTTCCTGTCTTATAATATGGTAGTAATAACAGCTGTGCTATTCTTTGTCCCACATAAATTTGCTGTGTCTTATTAGAGGGAGCCACCATTATGTGAATTTCTCCTGTATAGTCAGAGTCAATTACTCCAGGCAAAACTGTTAAACCAGATAAGGAAGTTGAACTCCTACCAATAATTAAACCCATTACTCCTGGGGGTAATGGACCTTTAATCCCAGTTGGTATTTTTATGACTGGAGAGTCAGGAGTTAGTATTGTTGCGGAGGTGGCACAGAGGTCCAATCCTGCGCTGCCTGGGGTGGCCCTGAACAATTTATCAATTCCCCTGAGGGAAGAAAGGGATTGAGCGTCTGGTGAATTGCCCCTATTGTTTGTTGGGCCCGGGGTTGGGCCCGAAGTAAGTTTCCCGAATTAGTTCCAGTAAGTGTATCTGGAAAAACAGGAGTAGGATACATTGGCATCTGAGCTCCAGCCTGAGGCACTGTAGAAACCCCATTAAGGGGAAGAATGTGTCCGTCCTTGTGATATTTACTCCTACACAATTTAGTCCAATGATTTCCTTTCCCACATCTTTGGCAAGGAGTTTTTGGGACCCCAACATTACCAGAAGGTATCATTCTAACAGGACCTGCTGGAGGCGCATTTTTATTAGGACATTCCCTACTGAAATGGCCGGCGCCTCCACAAGCAAAACAATTATTTCCCTTTGGCCCCTTAGGGTTTTTTGTTTTTTGAACCATATTCATCATGCATTGAGGAAGCGTTTCTCCCTTTAGGGCAGCTGCCAAGGCAATCCCTTGCATATAGGAGGGTCCCACGTCAGAACATTGTTTAATAAAATCTGAAATGCTTCCAGTTTTTCTGATTGACCGAATCAAGTTCTGACAAACAGGGTTTGCATTTTCAAAGGCTAATTGTTTAGCTAGTATGTTAGCTGCATCCTCATCAGTTATCACTCTTTTTATCTCTGTTAACAACCGAGAAACAAAATCCTCATATGCCTCCTCAGGTTTTTGTCTTAAATCTGTTAAGGTGGAGGCTTTTCCTGGAGTCAAAGGCAAAGACTTCCAGGCATTCACTGCACATGTAGTTACCTGCCATAAGGCCTCTTTTCCCATATGCATCTGCTGTTGGGTTGAGTCATATTCTCCTTGACCTAATAACATATCTTTAGTAATATTAAATTTATCCCATTTCTTATTTAAAGCATTTTGTTTAGCCACCTGTTCCTCATATTCTGCCTTCCAAAGTAAATATTGTCCTCCCGATAAACAGGCCTTGGTAACCTGAATCCAGTCATATGGAGTCATCCATCTATTTGCTAAGGCATCTATAAGAGTCATGGTGTAAGGCGCCAGTGGTCCATAATCTATACAGGCCTTTTTAAGTTCTTTTAAAAGTTTTAGAGGCAAGGGATCCCAATATACATCATCATCAAAATCACCCTCAAAAATGACTGGAAAACAGGCCGCAAAAGCATAATCATCATCCTCACCGTTTATTCTCCTATGTCTTTTATGTTCGCCTTGACCTTTATTAAAAGGTGGCGGAGGTGGCAAACCTCCGACATTTGAAATTCGGCTTCTTGACCCTTTTAGAGGAAAAAGTGAAGCTGGTGGTGCGGTCGGTAAACGACCCAAGGGACGCATGTCATGTAAATTAGGTCTATTTTTCTTAGTTTCTTGCATTGAAAAAGCACCAGGGGGTTCGTACTTCCTTCTTTCATAATCATATGCAGCAGCATCTAAATCATCCTGATCTGCAGGAGGCAATTCATCATCAAAAGGAGGACTTTTTAACAAATTAGAGTTTTTATCAGTAGGTGACTCATCTTCCTCCTCTGAGTCATTATCATTAAGGTTACAGTCTTTTAAAGCAGCAGCCAAAACCTCAGTTTCTTTTGACGGTTTTGGGGAAAGTAACGGAGTACATTTATCCATTACTTCTGCAGGATATTTATATGGGTTCTTCTGACCTTCAGGCAAGGGGGCAATGCTCTCTCTAATAAGGTTCCATAAAGTAAAAGTATCTACTGGGACCTTCTCAGGTCCAAAATGACTGTAATATACTTGTAAAGTTTGCCCCACCTTTTGCCATGTTTCTATATTAACTGTTCCCTGTTCTGGAAACCATGGGCATTGTTCCTGTACAAACTGAAAAAACTGAGTTAATTGCTTGTTAGTTACTTTAATTCCTCTTCCATTTATCATATGTTTAACTATATCAATAAACAAGAGCCTCTCCTTGGACTCAGCGTGTCCCATCTTGACACCGTCTTACTCACCTTCCTAACCAGTATTCCTAACTGGGGGTCCGCGGCACCCTACGGTGAGACTCCTATCCGTCCGAAAAAGAAATAATACTTACCCCTCCGGGTCCCTGTTCGGGCGCCACTTGCCGGGGACCAGCCCCAGCTGAACAGGATTCACCCAAAGGAGAAGACGGAGTCGGCGTGGACAGAACTCAGTACACCTCTTCTTGGATGCAAGGATCTGACAAATTTATTTTTACAATTTTGAAGCTTTTATACTGTGAGGCAATCTTATTTTCAATCTTAACAATCCAGTTCCCATGCCAAAAAATCCCTTACAAGAGCCATAAAACAAAAGTAATTTACATAAGCAGATTACATCAGAAGGTCAAACAGGTTAAATGATCTTCTTATCGCTTGTAGTTTCTTTTATCCCCTGTGGTCAGGTACATCTTGGTCACGCCTAAGTCAGGAACTCTGTCTGCAGTTTCATCATTGTTCTTAGAAGAATTAGATGTTTTTGTACCTGTTTGTTCTGTTTAATCAGCCAGATCTTCAAAACATAAACTCAAGCACATTATTCTTTAGCACCAGTAAATATTTACAGGCTGTTTCAATCTATCTCTATAATCAAAGCAAGACACAGAATAATCAATAACCCTAGGGGGTCTTGGGGGAGGGCATTGTACCTTAAATTTGCCACCAAGTTCCTTTGCAAAATACTTATAAAATATAATTTGTGCTTTATATCTATTCTTATTTGGAGAGCACTGAAACTTATGTAAAGCTGTCAAAAAGCCTACTCTATCTAGTTCCATATAAACCCACTTCAGCATAAAACCTTCCCGCCACCATATCCAAGTGTTTTTTAACATATCTTTAACTCCCCAGGGGGGCCATAACTCATCCAATTTACCTTGTAAAGTAAGCTCTTGCCATACAAATGCTCCTGTTGTGTTTCCCTGTACCCAATGCCCTGGCCTGGGAGTGGGGATTTCAGGTGTAGTCATTGGGGAAGCCGGGGTAATTACAATCTTTTTTTTTTGGTTTTACCCTAAGTCGGGGTCTTTCCCTAAACCTTCCATTGGAACTGGGAATGTTTCCCAACACTAATAACAATCCTATAAAAATCACCTTAGGCAAAGGCAGGGGAAGACAAGGGGAGCCACACAGAGGAAAGCTGTGGTTCACGGAGGAAATGGGAAACAAAGCCCTGTTGCGGTGGAAGAGCAGTTGCCATTGGCCAGGTCTCTGGTCTGCTACCTGGGTTCCCATCTGAGCTGGGCGTGGGAAGCGAAGCAGCCATGGGGACAAGAGACCTCTCTCAAAAGGGGTGAGGGTTCAGGCTCCTGCAAAGTTGGGGGGG